GGGGTGAAAGCACTCTAACCTTCATCCTGTCTTACTGATTTGCCTTCTTCCCTTTTTTCAAGGCTCAGGGGAATGCTTGTGATCAAGTAAACTAAATAAGTAAATAAAGCGATTTAGCTTATGCCTGGTTCCCTGTCTGCATGAAGTGCCTCTACTCTAGCTCTACACAAAGACTCTGGTTCTGGAAATACTTTCTACAGAGCTGAGTGACTTTTCTCCTGCCATGGAAAGCAGCCTCTGACCCTCTTGTACTGTCTCCCTTATTGCTCTCATTAGCTCCTGGACTGTTTTGTGATCCCAGTGGTGATTTTGCTTTCCTGGTTCTTCCTGCTGATCCGGTACAAGGCTGTGCATTTCATCGGCATCGTTGTCTGCATCCTGGGGATGGGCTGCATGGTAGGAGCTGATGTGCTCGTGGGAAGGCACCAGGGAGCAGGTGAGTCTTAGGATGTTCAACAGGTTGTTCATCTCTTTGAACAATGTCAAGGTGAGACATGGAATGTCTGTGCTTGAATAGAGACAGAAGCCTTAGGAACCTGGCTCTCCCTGCATCTGAGTCCTGTTCATGATTTTTCCCTGCACCTAAAATAGTGGCACATAAAAAGTATACATATTTTTGGAAGAACAGAAGATGTAAAATTCAGAGAAATTCAGATGGTCTTTAAAAGTGAGGTAATCATCTGCTTGGAGGAGGTTTTCAAGGCCAGGACTGCTGGCCTGTTTCAGCTACTCAGACATGGTGTTGAGGAGCTGTCAGCCACTCAGCCACAAGGTCTTCTGCACTCCTCTCCATCCAGCCCCAGCTCCTCTAAGCTAGAGAAAGGCTAAGCTTTCAAACTATTGGGCAAAGGTTGGTTTAACAGGACAGAGAGTGGATAGTCAATTTAAAGGCTAAATTAGGATGTTCTGTGTCATTATGAGGGAAAGCTAAGTGCCATTTCCTCGGGCATAGTTTTTGTTCATTTTGATGGGAGGAATTACTGTACCAATCACAGTTTGAGGACTTATGGGACAAAGCTTTGCGATTAAATCATCAAATGTCTATGAATCTTCTAGGGGAACTCTGATTCCAGTGGTTTCCAGAGAATCTTTCTAAAAAATTTTAATTCGTGTACTATAGAAAAAGTTTTAGAAGAGAAACACACACACACACACACACACACACACACACACACACACTTTTTTTAACAATGGAATAGAAAGTACTCATTTTTCTATAGTTCTTAGAATTACCATTTCTTTTAGATATTAGACAATAAAGAGTCAAAATTAGGACATTTCACTTTATGAATCTAGGTTATATAGTCCTTGAAATGATGTCACTTATGTTGCATTATAGAACTTTATATTGAAAAAGAATCTCCTTCAGATCATTTATATTTGGCCTGTAAGAATACCAAGATCCAGGAAATTAAGTGAGTTATCCAAGATCACAGGGCTGAGAGGGAGGAGCTAGACCCCCCTCCCCAAACTCCTGGGCTCCTGACCTAGGGCAGGCTTTCTTTCTCCCACATTGCAGATGGCTAAAGCTACAACACAGAACAATAGGGAGACAGCCTCATTCTCTTAGACCTGCAGCCTAAACATTGTCAATCCCCACCCCAACAGATGGCCTGGAAATGCACATCCAGCATTTCTCAGGTTCTCCTTTGTGAAACTCTGGCTCTGTGACCTGTCAGGAGATGGCATATGAAAGGGCGAGTGCTGGTTTACACCTGTAGTCAGTGATCTTGATAAGAATCATCTCTTTAGAACTCATCAGATAGGGTTTCTGTCTGATATGATGCCACAGCTTAATTACACTTTCTCAACTTTCTGTGCTATATAAGCACAGATGACCAGAACTATGTGGCCTTAATTATAAGAATTTTGCCCATTGACCCTAGTCATTCACTCTGGCCATCATCTTATATTTCAGAGTCAACCAAAACAGTTGTCCTGACAAATCTGAATGTTTAAGTCTAAAATGGTAAATTAACTTTATTGTTTATTGGATTGTATACACTAATCCTCTAAAACCTTTTTCTGGCTCTGAAGTAGTAGGAAAATGGTACTGTTTAAGAAATAGACAGCAAACCCACTAGATGGCCTTTCTGAAGCGGCCACTTTCCACTGTTGATGTTGAACTGTAGACAAGGCTGAAATAGGCTGAAGTGGTGCAACCTATGTCCATGGGAATCTGCTTGAGGCCTATAACAGTGCCTTTGTGACTTGCAAAGCCCCAGAGTTAACAGAATTAAACCTGTCACTGCAGAGCACTTTCTGTGCTACTGAAATGGTGCCTAAGCACATGGTATGATGAGTTAAGGCCAGCCCAAATCTGGGATCCAAGGGCTCATTTTGTAAAATTATGACTCATACACTTTCCTCTATAAAAATATTAAGTTGGGTAACAATTTAAGCTATTATATAATTTCTTTAAAATATGCTGGTTTTGAAATCAATATAACCCTAAAATTTCATGCATTATTACTAAAACTATCCTGCTTGTTTTTACCTGTATAATACAGTTGATTCAATTGCATTAATGGTCTAGGAACACCAGGCTTCTCTAGAACGCTTCAGATACTCATCAGAACTTTAATGAAGTGTTTAGCTCATATAATTTCTTACCATCACGTCAAGAGTTTTTCAAAGGAAAAGAGACCTGACTTTATCTTTCTGTATGGTTTAAACTCTGCTTCCTCTTAGCCTGAGATTTTGACAGTCCTGCCTCCACACACATTGATTTTGGCCCCTTCACAATTACTTTGACTTCATTATAGTTAAATTAATTGTTTCAATTTTACTTTGTTAGCATGTTTCTTACTTATCCATCCAATAATTCTTGCTTGTTTTAAGCCTGGAACCTTCTCAGATGACATCAGGCGCTCCTTGTATAAAGTGGGTTTGGACCCAGAATGATGTACCATAACTAATGCTGTTGATAAAACTTGATCATCAAATCTGTCTACTGTAGATGGAGGTGAATGGAAGGGACCCCAGCTCCTGGCATAGGAGACTCCACTTTGGCACCCATAGAGTAGATACTGCTGAGCCATCTACCATAAGAACCTTCCATACCTTTAAGCTCTTCTGAAAGTAGATTTCTTTACCAAGTTGGCCAAGAAAAAGTGGTGGGCCTAGTATTTACTCTCTCTCTTTGTCACCTTAGGTCCACATCTGTATCTTGGGCCTCTCGGAAGGATCATCTTTGCCTTTACTGATGGGGGTGTGGAGAGATATACAATAGAGGTAGATTGTGGAGTGTGTAAGCATGGCTTGGTAAAGCCCCAGAGATACATCTCAATGGCCTCTTCTTTCCTGGGAGCATATGTATATAAATGGAAAGGATAGAAAATGATGAAGAAAAACTCGGTTAAAATAATGCCCTATTATAAAATATATTTCTTTCTAACAGCCTTGGCTGTTGGCAGCATATGTTAGTTTTGTCTGTCTTTCAGGTGCTATTGAGAACATTTTCCTACCTTTCTGAATGCCTTTCAGAGTTTGAAATAAATTTAAAATTTTTATTTATTTTTATTTTGTGTGTATGGGTGTATTGCCTGCATGTGTGTAAGTGCACCAATATTGTGCAATACCTGCAGAGGTCAGAAGAGGCCGTCAGATCCCCTGGAACTGGAGTTACAGACCGCTGTTAACTGCCATGTGGGTGCTGGCATTCTAACCCAGGTCTTCTGCAAGAACATTCAGTGTTCGTAACCTCTGAGCCATCTCTCCAGCCCCCAGAAAATACTTTTAAGGAGCCAAATAATTCAGTACAATTATTTTGTTGAGTGCTCCCTGGTGCTAGGTGCTTTCTCATACATGATCTCATTTTATCCTAATAACTATGCAAAAAATTGTTTTCATGTTTTAGCTGTAGAAATCAAGGTTTCGAGAAGATAAGAAACCTGTGGAAAGGCACACAATTACTAAATTGTGTGGCTCAAATCTTTTCAATATTCATTTTTCTATTCTACTCAATTCTTTTTTCTACAATTATGTCTCATATAGAAAATATGCAGCTGCTTTAAAATCATGAATTAGTGTGAACAACTGTCCTGGATTGCCCAAAATGAAGAGGATTCTTTAGGTGTGATACATTTGAGGTTAAAATTGAGTTCCAAGAAAACAAGACAGTTGGTCCCCTATTTGAAATCCAAATGCATTCAATGGAATGGACACATTTTCATCAACTGAATTAGTGATCTTCCAAAACTTCAAACTGGTATAACTCACTCCTTAGTTCTTGAACTAGTGATAAGTTCTTGTTTTAAATGACCTTCCCTTTTCTCTTAACATCACGTATAACAGATGTCTATCTAAACATGATGTTTCTGGTAATTAAACAAAAACCTAATATGAAAAATTAATTCTTAAAAAACAATTATGAGTGGGTTGATTAGAATACAGGAGTGACCCAGAATGAGAAATGCCCAACCCAAAGACAAAGATGAGTTTTCAAAGGGAATGAAGATTAACTTTTTTAAACTATGATTTGTGAACACTTAGCATCACATTCTATGCTGAGCATTTTGTACTATTTTATTCTTATAATAACCATATTTTAAGATACAGAAAATAAAGTTCTGAAAGATCCTATAGTTAGTAAGTGGCAACTGTGATTTACTCAACTCTACCTGAATTGAAAACCATTGCCATATGATGGGGTCAAGACCTTTTCAATAAGATCAATTCATTTAGATAGTTCTTGAGAACACAGAATACAGCAAAAACCATGTTAGGGATAACACAGACTATAAAACTAACTCAAGGGCTATGTACGAGAACAGGTGTGAAATTAGCAAGAGGAACTCAGTGGAGATGGATGGTAGTGGTATGAACACAGAGGAAAAGAAGTGTCAGGTTGGAAGGTCATTTCACAATTCAAATGCGCCCATTTACCTAAAATTTTCATAACTTGATGGGTCATTGTAGCTTCGTGCATACATAAATGACAGATTTTCTGAGCCTGATTTTAGCCCCTGATCCCTGTACAAACCTAGTACTAATCTGTCATTCTCCACTTCATGAACTGCTTAAGACACGGGACATCTGATTTTCCCATTGACTAGATACAGATGTTAAATCATCTCTTTATGCCAAACACTTCACTTATAATATGGCTGTATAAAATTGTGTCCTATTCTTTGTCGAATCTTATTTAATCAACTACATGTTCCTGCATTTTTTACATCGTCAGCTTTGTATCACTGTAACAAATACCTGAGATAAACTGACTGGAAAGGAAGAAAGTAAAGTCTTAGTCTGGCTCATTGTTTTGGAGAGGCCTATGCCTTCTTTTGCTTTGGGCCAGTGGTAGCACAGAGCATCATGGTGGGAATACACAGTAGAGGGGAACTCTTCTCTTCCTGGCAGGCAGGAAGCAAAGAGTAACTAAGGGGAAGGGGATGGGTGTGGGTATCCACTTCAAGGCCAGTCTTGAAACTTAACTTCCGTTCTCTGGACCCTGCTGCCTGATGGTTCCACTAATTTCCAACAGCACCACAAGCTGGGAACAAAGACCTCAACACAAGGACTTTGGAAGGCTATTTAAGATCCAAAGTGTAGCATATGCTATATGCACGTATATTGACCTTAAAATTATTTCAAAACTGACAAACAATAATTACTAGTAAATCCTAATAAATAATATTTAATCTTATGTCACTGATTTAAACATTTCTGAAATTAAAATCATATTACCAAAAATTTTCACTGAATAAGTGAAGATCTAAAACACTGATGAGATTTCCTGTAGTAGAAAACCAGGTCACAGACTATATATACTCTGACTATACAAATGGAGGCTGAAGAGATGGCTCCATATTAAGAACACTTGCCGATTTTCCAGAGGGCCTGAGTTCAGTTCCCAGCATCCACATTGGGTTACTCACAACTATCTGCAACTCCAGCTACAGGGAATCTGATACTCTCTTCTGGCCTCTATGAGCACCCCACTACACACACACACACACACACACACACACACACACGGCATATACACACACAGACATACACACGGCATATACACACAGACATACACACATACATGTAAATAAAAATAAATCTTAAAAAAAATAACTTTCCAAACATAGAGTCTAAAAACCATTAGTAAGACTATTCACCAGAAACAGAGTGTCCTCAGGTTTTTAGGACTTTTAAAAGATAGACTGATGGTCCTCCAATTCCTATTAAAATATCTCATTATGATTTAGGGTTCTTGAATCCATTCAGATAAATTTAAATTATTAACTAATAATTCTATTAAGCAATCCTTCTACACTTCACTAGTACAACAATAATTGAGATTCATATTAATAACTTGATGTCATTACAAGATTCTGAAATGTCACATGAATGAAGAGGGATTAAATGATGCTCTTTATAATTTTGAATATAGATGAGTTTTATTTTATGGCTGTTCCTTGTATGAACTATGTGAATTAAAAGTCTGTCATTCCTTTATAGCTGGCACATAAAGATTAATCAGATTGCTGTCACAACAACCTTCATTTTTCTAGGAGACAGGCCTGGACCGCCTCCCAAGTCTGCTTTCTCATCAGGACCTCACTACATTCTCAGTTCATCTAATGAATAGCGGTGGCATCTCCCCATGGGCCCAGGAAAAGCTCTTAGCCCTCCCAGATTCACACTCAGGCCCACTCCCTTGAGAGTGACTCTAACAAGCTATTGTCTTTCAGAATTGCTTCTTCTCTCTCTCCAATTTTTTTTTTTTTTTTTTTTTTTTTTTGGTCTTTTTGAGACAGGGTCTCCCTGTAGCCCCAGCTGTCCTGGAACTCACTATGTAGACCAGGCTGGACTTGAACTCACAGAGATCCACCTGCCTCTGCCTCCCCAGTGCTGGGACTACAGCACCACGCCCGGCTCTCTCTCCAGTTTTTACCAGGATTGGAGAAAATCCTGGGACAAAAAAAGTGGCACTATTTAGCATACAAATATAACCTACTGAGGTTGCCAAATACAGATATAGGTCCAAGTCCTGCTTTGCCTCATATGGACCGTCTACCTAGAGGGTTCTCAGTACTCCCAACAGAACAATGAGTGCCTAGTTCTACAGTTTTAGGTTGTTCCAGCTCATCTCAGAATTCAAAGCTGATATAGGTGAGTCCCTTCCTCAGAGGACTGTTAGAGGTGAGCACCTTTCCTATCCTCCGCTTCTGCTCCCTCAGAGCTGTATGTTTGCTGAGCTGATGGACAGCTGGCTCCTGCAGCACAGACCCGGAGGTCACTAGGGTAGAGAACCTACCAGTGAGGCTGTGAGCCGCCCCCTCCCCCTGCTTATCTTCATTGCCCCACACTTCCTGGAGTGGGAAGAATTGGCCTATTTACAGGAAATGCTGGATAAAGTATTTATTACAAATTGGACGTAAACCAGAATCAAATCAAGCTGATTTTAAAACATGTTTCTATAATTTGAAAAGGAGAACATATTAATCTGATAGTGAATTATCTGTCTATATATATATATATACACACACACATAAACCAGAATCAAATCAAGCTGATTTTAAAACGTTTTGATAATTTGAAAAGGAGAACATACTAATCTGATAGTGAATTATATATCTATCTATCTATATATGCACACACACATATGTATATATATATATATGAATAATTTTTTCACTGTTATGTTGCATCAGGGAAGTTGAAATTTCATGAATCCTTTCAGTCTCCTTGTCTAAGTATGAACATGTTTTGCCTATGATCAAAATGTACTATTGACTGCTCTGTTATACCTTCTTTCTATATATAGTATAAGGAAGAAATTGATTTTGTTGGTTTATAACAGATTCACTATAAACAGTTGGAAAATGGCTGAATCAAAAATAGTCCATGTACATATCAGCATATATTTGCAGATGCATACAGAAGATAAAGACTCTGAAGAGAATTAATCCGAAGAAAACTAGTCTCCCTCTTAACTAGGGAAGACTTCCAGCGGCATCACAATAGGTAGCCTTCTTACATCTAAGTACATCTTAAAAACAGGCCATTAAAATCTTTACTCAATCTCAGTTGAAAATTGCAGGACTTCTTATAAAACTGTCAGAAGATAATAGACAAAGGAAGTTCAATTTGCTGCTGACAGATTCTTATCAAGAAATTTTAATGAAGCTTTGTCTGTTTTCTTTGTTCCTAGGGGAGAATAAGCTGGTAGGGGACCTTCTGGTCTTAGGGGGAGCCACACTCTATGGCATCTCTAATGTCTGGGAAGAATATATCATCCGAACCTTGAGCCGAGTGGAGTTCCTGGGAATGATTGGTCTCTTCGGTGCGTTTTTCAGTGGAATTCAATTGTGAGTAAAAATAACAAGAAATTCAAAGGCTATAACAAGTGGGTTTTGTTTTTACAGTTTTCGCTCCTGGAGTGTAAAAAAATCAAGGCAGATAAACAATCACCAGCCTCCCACACTGAGATCTTATTAAATCAGCAAACTCAATATCCTTATTAGTAAATTACTTCTAAACTAAGTATATTATAACTTATTATAAAACTTAATAGACCTTGGAGATAATTTTCAAGAAAGCATTAGAAGTACATCCATTATCCCAAAACAGTGAGTTATTATTAATATTTAGAGAAGTAAAAAAAAAAGGACAAATGTCACAATTTGATGTATTTCAAAAGGGGGACATTCTATTTATTAGTGACGATGTTAGGAAACTTATAGTTTAAAATTTCCCTTTTGTTAAGTGTTCTTATCTTGTCCATGGATTTGCAAAAATGAACCACATTTCTTGTCCATGGATTTGCAAAAATGAACCACATTTGCAAATGAACCACAGCTTAGCATTTCTTTCTCCTTAAAAAGGTAGAAAGATAACACTGAAATACCCTAAATGCCAAAATGTGAAAAGCCCCAGATTTATAATGATTATGGAGCTGGAGCATAAGTCATTACTTAATGCACCATCTAACCCCTTAGAATGTGCTGTAAGCAAAGCACAATTTCCCATCAGCAAAGAACATATATATTTAGCTTCATGTATGGAATACAGTCTAATTTCACCAAACAATTGTTATTTCACTACATTTCTCTCTACAAAACAAGTTCACTGTAATTGTGTTGGTTTGTTGTCAGAATTATTCAGGGAAAATATTTTGGTATCACAGTAAACGGGTTTTGCATAGAGGCTGTTTCCAGCATTTTCAAATCCCAGTGTCCTGAAATAGTGCCGAAAAACTCTGTAACAAGCAAAGCACGGAGACAGGAAGACTCCAAGCATTTATTTTGGTTTCATTTAAAAAGTGTGATGGCATTTTAAAGCTCCTAAATTTGCTGCTTTCTCTTTGTGAGAGGAAAAGGAATTGTCTAGATCAACTATTCATGGCCAATATTTTAATAGATGAACAGATCCTTTTATGGATTATTATTCTTGAGTCCAAAATATATATTCTGAGAGTCACTGCTTGTTTGCTTGGTTATAGTCTATTATTGCTATCTGAGCTCTTTGGGAGTCATGGCTTTCAAAATGGCTTGTTTAGTGAATTAGATACATTGAGGGTACACTGGACCCAAGCTGTGCTATTATGTGATGACAACCTTGCTGCCCAATGTGTCTGTAAAGAGTGGTTCTCCAAGTTCATTTCTCAGACCAGCAGCACTGATGTCACAGGGGAGCTGTTAGCAATGCCCCTCCCTGAAACTACCTGGGTTTACTGAATCAGAATGTCTGGGGAGGAGGTCCAGGAGATGGTGTTTTAATGCATTCTCCAAATGACTTTGAGATACCCATGTCTCTAAGAACCACTGCTCAATGAACACTTAGCAAATTGATTAAACCTATAAGCATAGTTTTCCGGACCTCGCCATTTGCTTCTTAGAAAAGCATCTGGAAAAAAAAAAAGAAACAACAAACAAAACTGGACAGCTTGTTTGGTTAAGGACAGTGAGGTTTGAACTCTGCTAGACCCACTAGCATGCCCCGTCTGCTGTTGGCCACATGTACTTAGCAAGACATCTGCATGGCCCAGAATTACTTGGGAAGTTCGGTTGACTACCTTAATATTTGTGTAAATATGGTAAATGAATATGGTAAATGACAAGAGTACAGGAAGCAGAGTGTATGGCCGTCTTGCTCATTTCCTGTCTTTGAATCTGCAGAGCTATCATGGAGCACAAGGAGCTGTTAAAGGTGCCCTGGGACTGGCAGATAGGTAAGGTCTGCTCATCTACAACACTGCTTTTAGTGAGCATGAAAAATGTGCTTGAAATGTGGTATGAGTGGAGGTGGAGCATGAACAAGGAAAGACTTTAGAATGGCACAGGAGAAAAGAAGTGAAATTCCCTTGCCGTGTTGGGAAGCCCTGAATAGTGAAAGAGACTGGATTCCCAGATTCATCTTGCTTCCTGACTGTTAGCACTGTCAAGGTGTTTGACGGGAGACACAGAAGTGTGTTATTAGGTTAAAGACCAACCAGAAAGGAAAATGCCTGAGGCAGTAGTAGTACAGAAATGACAGCAATTTGCTCTAGCCAAGAAAAACAGAATTGATGTGATCATTAAAAAGTAGCTCTTTAGTAAAGGGGAAAAACTGGCTCTAACAAAAGGTATTGAAAGAAACAATGTAATGGACATTCTGGGCCCATCAGAACCTTTTCAGAGGGGAGCAGTTTGCACGTAAGAAATGGTTCATTGACTCCAAATGGACTTGGAAATAACAGACAGGCTTTGAGCTAGTTGATAGTCACCTAGGGCATCTTAGATTCCATGTGTTTCTAAAATCACTTTCCTCTGAAAAATTAAGGACACAGATTTTAAATCCTTGGTGATGCTGTCATTATTGATCATGTAGCGAGCTTTAGAAAGAACTGCCACTTAATACCCCCAGGAATTAATCCCGAGGCATAGAGTCCTAGCACTAAACACAGTTTGAGCTTAAATCAAGTGGGGAAGTATTCAGGAAATGTGTGAACAACAAATGCATATATGGGTGGGGGGTTACACAGGTGGCGCCCCACCACCCCCAACATGTACAGCTTTGCTTTAAGTATCAGCTTTGGTTGCATTCCCCGTCCATGAATAAGACAGCAGGGCCGTAGCTTCCTCTGCATCACTTTACCTACCTCCCATCTTATAAGCACCCAGAGCCGATTTGTTACCGATATAATTCCCTCTGAAAGCAGACTGAGTGACGTTAAGCAAGGGCTGACCAGCACCTGTGCTCGTTCCAGAGATCTGCCATTTATTTGTTTCACAAATGTGGGTAGGGAATGTTATAATTAAATGAAAATCAATAGAGAAGAAAGAGGGGGCAGGGGAGAGACAGGCAGCTGGGAAAGAAACCAGCGCGCACTCCAGGAGCATGTACCTTTGTGACTCTCAAAGCCAGGACTCTCAAATATGACTCAACGCTTCACAGCACCTCACTTACAGTGGCCTGTGAGGATAAATTAATTTCATACTGATGGTAATGGCAGTAATCAAAAGGAATTTGTCCTCTAATTATATAGATGTCCTGTGCATGTCCACTGAGATTCTGTTATAATTCAGTGTTAGTTAAATGTACCATCAAAAGATAGTTTTACCCTGAGCTCTCATATTGCCATTAAGATGTCAGTCCCCCGCAGTCCAAGATGATGAAGACAGTATAAAAGGAACACATTACAGAGCCATCAGATTAATTCTTGGTTGCAAATTAGACCAAAATGGCCTAGAATCAAATTCATACTTTTCTTTCTGAAGCACTTGTAGGGTTGGGTTGGAGGTTTTACTACACAGCCACCTTCACGCCCCTTAGCTCACGCTGACTAACTATATGGTCTGGACATCTAGCTCAGTTCTA